CTGAGTGGTCTGTTTTCTGACTGTGTTTGTTTAAATAATTGTTATGAGCAAATAATTGTTATGGGCAGGTTACAATATAAAAATGTTTGTCATAATCATGTCTTGTGATTATTTGACATGAGTTTTACTTTTAAACTGTAAGTGTATTTAATTTAGTTATGTTAATTATGATAGTTTAGTTATGATGTAAATACAATAAAACTTGAATCAAGATTTAGATCAGATTAATTGTCATTTTGATTCACACATTGGAAATGGCTGACTGGGCCTCATGCCACTTTATGTTCAACAAACGGGGCCCCGAGGTCAAGAAGGTTAAGAAGCCCTCTACAGGGCCTTGGTGAATTTTCATTAGTCACTTACTGTATTTGTTCAGTGTTTCTAGAAGGGAAGAGTCAAAGCTGTAATTATCTTGACATTCTAAAATAAAAATAAAAAACATAAAGTAGACAAAGCCAACAACGTCTCTCATAATTGTTAGACCTTCTCACCTTTTTTGAGTTATACAAATGAAAGCCATTTATCAAAAATTGGAGAGTATGTAATCTCTTGGGAAAATGTAGAGCACTTTTAAAAATTAAAATAATTGAACCGTTACAAAGCAGTAACCAGCTCTAAGAAACTTCCTTTTTTTTCTCCCCGAGCAGCAATTCTCTTACTTTTTCAAGCCAAGTCAGAGGAACAACAACAAAAGAGGGACTGAGGGGACACAAAGCTAAAGACCGGAAAGTTTTTTTCTGAGAAAACTGTCACACTCGCTGTCAGACTGCACAAAAACAAAGCTTTAGCCAACCCCAGGCTTTTAGGCCAGTACATAATCCTGTTGCAAACATAAAAACATTTCATAAATAAGGGGAAGAAAAGAATTTAGTTAAATTCCAGTAAACTTTAAAATTTAATGCCGCACCATTTTTTGAAAGGAAGGATGACTTTTACTGTGCAGCAGAATAATGATCCTAATTACAGATCAGAATCATCTGTGAAAGGTTTTTATGTGCAAGATCTGAAGGCTTAGCTTTGGCTCTTTAAGTCCTCTAAACGAACGTCTAATCAGACGTTTCACTTGGTTAGAAACTCTTAGAAACYCTAAAACTTTTACGCACAATGTTTAACTGCATAGCACAAAGTGATTAGTCCTTTCTGTACATGTTTTGTGTTTTCATAGTCAGCATTCAGACTCAAACTGGTGTGTTTCAGTTAACTCTCTGATGATTTCCAGTTACGTTTGTCAGGAGAAGTCAAACCTGGCATTAAGCATGTGAAAAAAAAACACACCCGATCATGAAACATCCAAGAATAAAGAATGATAGTATGTTGGGTATGCTGTAATTTTATCATTAATGTTACAATTCTTATGCTTGAAAAGAGTTTTTGTATCGTCATCGATCTGTCACACTGAAGGTTGTTTTATTTTTCTCCCACAAACTAAAGGTCTTCAATTCAAATTCATCAAGGTCTGCCTGAATAATTCTTCTTCTCTAACAATGGTCTAGAATTTATTTAAATTTTTTAGTGACGGCTTTGCTGTTTTTTTTTTCCAGGTCTCTTTTTGGGCTGATGGCCTGTCTCTGCATTGAGAATCAGAGACAAACCCAGATGTAGGAATTACCTTAAATACTGAAAAAAAACTGAACTGCCTAAATTAAACTACAGGCCCTGTCAAGCTGTGACATTTAGGACAACTTATWCCGACCTTTGGGATTGTTGTCCAACTTGGTTATGACATATGTCCAGTTATGAAAATTACCTGTAACAGACCTAGAACTTATGAGAAACTGATCAGCAGCAGTTCAGCACAGTGAAAATTTAAAGTAGGTGTCTCTGCAGTACAAAGAGGGAGGTACTTGATGTATGGGCGGAGTTTGTCCCAAATGTGATTGGTGGACTTTGAAATATAGGCGTAGTATAGGCGTGCATATGTGTGTATATACAGATATATATGTGTATGTGCATAGGCATGGGTATGTTATATACATA